AGAGAGAGAGAGAGAGAGAGAGAGAGAGATGAGTGTGGTGTGGGGTGGTGGGGTCTGGTGGAGTGGTGCGGGGTCTGATGGGTGGGGCCAGTGTTTGGTGTAATAGAAATGTCCAATTTACCGTTAATCAATAAAAATATTTGACTTTTTTTAGCCGTTGTATGATCGAACGGCTGAAATCCGATCATACATATATTTTAATTTGAGATAGTAAAAATATTTATATTTTTGAAAGTCTTAGTAGAATGAAAAGTAGACTACGACTGTGTCTGGTAGCCGCCAAATAAGTTATAAGAGAGTTTATTAGGTTAGCTAATAAGTTTCATGTATTCAAATAAGACTCGTTTGATAGGACGAGTTTTTCTAAAAAGTTCGAGTTTATTTGATAAGTTTGTTTAGGTAGTTTTTCAAATAAGCTAGTTGAATTTTTATTTCAGCTAGCTTATCAGCTAACTTTAACAAACACTTTTCTTTGATTTTGCTATGTAGCTATCGGATGGCTCGGCTTATAGAACCATCCATAGTTATTCACAAATAGTTTATTGACACGTGTCCTGCAATAAATACACATTAAACACGCGTCGGTACATAAAGTAATGGATGACTCCATAACGAGTCATCCAATGGCTCCATAGAATTTCTACACTTTTATAATATAAGCTAACTTTTCAGTATAAGTCTAGTTTTGTAAACTATAAGTTATATAAACTAGTTTTAACCAACCTACGAATCCCCCTATATATTAATCCAGAAAGCGCTGAGCCTACGTGGCTGTTTCTGGTGTTTCGGAATCTTATGTGGCAAAATTACATGCTTTGTTATTAGGCTTGGGTAAATTTTAATTTAATTCAAAACCAAAAATAATTAGTTCCAAACCAAAAATAATTAGGTTCGGATTACCATAAATATGTTGATTATTTATGGTCATGTTACATGTATTAATTGCATTTTAATATCATTTCTTATTATAACTATTTAATTATATATATATTTTAAAACTTAATAACTTTTGTATTTTTAATTAGTTTTACATATGTAATATATCAAATTAATCTTCTTTTGATGAGCTTCGATTTAACATCCATATTGTATGTATAAAAAAAATAATTTATATTTATCTTTATAACAATAATAAAATTATTTTTAATATTAATTAGAAAAATAAAATTATTTATCAACTAATATATTCAAGTAGTTATATGATATAAGTTATAAAAACTAATATAATATAACACATGTAAGTCATAAGTAACACATACCATTTTAAAATATATAGTAATATATATTTTTTTTTGTAAAAAAGTAAATTAAATTTAATATGGTTTTCTCATTAATTCTAAAATTTAAGAATAATTTTTTAACAAGCACCCGTGTATTACACGGGTGTTGTACTAGTTGATATGTCATAAAATTATAAAAGCATCAAAATTCTACACCGAAATTAATAAGAAACATCGAAACTTCCATGTAGGCTCGAGGAAAATCTTCATTTATATATGACAACATGAAATTACCTAACTAACCCAATAAAGCAGTCAAAATAAAGGGTAATCCAGTCAACCCAAAAAAAAGTGGCATCATTGGTAAAAAGGATTCAAAATAACGGACAGTTTTTAGTCGATTCAAAATAAGTGCCAAAATTGTAAATAAAGCAAGACACATTGAGGACACGTGTCGATCAACGGAGGGGTCGAAAATGGATACGTGTCGCGACCCCAACTGTCCAAACTCGTTTGTATATATATAAGAGAGATAAAGATATATATAGCCATTTAGGGAGGGGATGATTGCTAACAAGCGAGGTCCAAAAAACCCGCAGATGGAAAAGCACGTGTGACGACGTAGAGAGAGCGAGCGATGGTGGTAGAGGTATGGTAGGGGAAAGGCCCTGTTTTGTAGGAGCTTCAATCTCTGGTCTCATTCGTTCTTTAATGGCGAAAACACACAATGTCACAATTTTTATCTCTCTTCGTTTATACCTTGGAGAGCCCTTCAATCTTCAGGTAAGCTTCTCTTTCTTCTACAAAAGCTTAATTCTTCCATCAGTTACAACCTCGTTCACCTTTCCTTCGTAAATCAATTTTACTCGTCGGCTTCGATGAACATTTGCAGGTGGCACGCATTGCCGTGAGGGCACAAAAAGGGGAAAGCAATTCTCCCCGGAAGAATTCGGCGGAGCTCAAATTTCCGGCGTTTCTGAACTCCCAACGCCTCAACGCCGGAAATTCCTCCGCAGAATGGCTTCAGCACCATCCGGCTCAAGAACAAGCCCGCCACCTCCTCCTCCGGCTGACGACCAGCCGACCCCATCCTCCCCGCCACCAGAGCCATCTCCGCTGCCGCCTGCCGCCCCATCCCTCAGCTCTGGGAGGAATCCGGACTTGTCTCCACCGCCGCCTGTGGCACCTTCTGGCCAATCACCACCGTCGCCAGCCATCTCAACGCCGAGGTCAAATGCCAATAGTGATGTTGGGCCCAGTCCCTCGTCGGGAGTATCGGGTACGGAGTTAGCCGTAATTTCAGGTATCATTGGCGGCGGAATAGTGATCCTCGCGCTTATGTTTGTTTGTATATTGTGCATCACGAAGAAGAAGAACAAGAAACGGGAGTTTTATTTGGAGCAAGGGCGCCCTCCTAAAGGTGTGAGAATTACAGATGTGTTTAAATTTTCTAAGTAGCTCAATTGTATGTCATCTCATGTTTTTTGGAATGATCAATAGTACAACTGTGGTATTACGTTGGTCTCGGATCAGAGGAAATAATCGCGATACTATGTTTTAGAAACAAAGTGTGCACGATCAATATAGTAATGGGATTATCAGGGAAATTATTAGGACCTGAGTTTTGGCCTGGTTTAAGAAGAAAACATAGTTTATGTTCTATGCTTGAATGCTCTCTTTACGTCATTACAATTTACAAATACCCACATCGAGCTTTGTATTTGTTATTCAATTTACCTGTCCCTCCACCTCATCAATAGGTTAAATTTGTAAAATAGAAACATGTATGTACCAGTTGATGTGTTCAATATTATTTCTTAATATATGTCTAGTTGTAAACAACCGTGTTCATTGAACTGAACTCAAGATTTTGTCTGATGGTATGAAGTGATTGAATCAATGAGTAAAGTATAATTTTTCAGAACCCAAATATATCAGTCCTGTACAACTTAACGTAAACTATTTTCTGCGTCTGGTCAGGTGCTGATCAATACTACAAAGGTCCCAGAAAGAAAAAAGTCAGCCCGACCATTGACCCACACATGAAGATCCCTACTAACAACAGCAGTGAGGACAGTCCAAGTAGCCACTCAAGCCACAACCCATTCCAGCCTTCTAATATGGGTGGCTACGGAGCCAACAGCTTGTTCACCTATGATGAGCTGGAGGCTGCTACCGGTGGGTTCTCTCAGGCCAATCTGCTGGGGCAGGGAGGGTTCGGGTACGTGCACAAGGGGATCCTGCCCAACGGGAAGGAAGTGGCTGTGAAGAGCCTCAAGTCAGGCAGTGGGCAAGGGGAGAGAGAATTTCAGGCCGAGGTAGAAATCATTAGCCGTGTCCATCATCGGTATCTCGTGTCCCTTGTTGGTTACTGTATTGCTGGTCAGCAGAGAATGCTCGTCTATGAGTTCGTGCCAAATAAGACATTGGAGTTCCACCTCCATGGTAAGTGAGTGTGGGCATTTGTGATGTTTGATTGTTTTGAGTGGACACCGTGGAGGTTAAGATAATACAAAAAAAATCTCCATGTGGTTTGGGATGTTTTGAAAGTTACGGAAACACCTGATTGAGGTTTGATTTTGTGTTGCTTTTACGGGTGTGACTATTATATTTCTACAAATATTTGGAGTTCTTTTGAATTGCTTGTAGCTTATGATGGTGAAAACTTCAACACATGAAAACCTTTCTTGTGTCCTCTTATTATTTTTGGGAACTTGATGGTTTCTATCAAACCTCAGGCTAGATTTTGTAGCTATTCCTAAGTTTAATAACCAGAAAAATCTTAACTTTTTTTTTTTAAATTTGCAGATACCCCTTGACACCTTTTTTTTTTATTTTTTTTTTATTTTTATTTTTTTTTTTAATTTACAAACACATCCTCAAGAGGAATGTATTAGTTAAGAATAATTCACATTGGGAACTTGTATATTTTGAGATGTATAGTTGATTTTTTCATTGTGAGGCTAAAAGTCAAGGTAGCCTTTTTTGTTTAATCTTATTTAAAAATATATTGTATCTGTATCTCATGACTCTGATGACGAAATATTTGATTGCAGCAAAAGGGCAGCCGGTCATGGATTGGGCTTCCAGGCTTCGGATTGCAGTGGGATCGGCCAAGGGGCTAGCTTACTTGCATGAAGATTGTATGACAGTTGTTCAAATTAGCATTTTCGTCCAAATCACTTTTATTTGATGTTCTGATTGTGTATTAATATACAGGCCACCCTAGGATTATTCATCGTGATATCAAAGCGGCAAACATTCTCCTTGAGTCAAACTTCGAGGCCAAGGTAATTGGTTGGCTGCACATATAGCTCTTAAATGAATCTTGATTGTTAGTTATATGTACTGCGTTAATGCCCTGAATATTCAGGTGGCTGATTTTGGATTAGCTAAGCTCTCTTCTGACAATTACACTCATGTCTCGACACGTGTCATGGGAACTTTTGGGTAAGTCATTTCGTAAAATGTGTGTTTTGCTTATATTATTATTATTATTATTATTATTATTATTGGTCTCCCCGTAAAGCTAGAAGTAAGCTTTCAGGAGCGTCTATTCCCTAGCACCCCCTCTGGGAAAGTAACTAGTAGTCCCGGTAACTTCTAACAAAGTTCCCCCACTTTATCTCGAAACCGATGAGAAGTAGAAAACCAGGGCACCTCCCTATGATTTATAAGCCTAAAACCCGGCAATCCCCACTCGCCTCATTCTATGCTTGAAAGGATCAGGAACAGAGGGACAAACGGAAGTCAATACAAGCAGAATGACTAAGCAAAGTATTATTATTATTATTATTATTATTATTATTATTATTATTATTATTATTATTATTATTATTATTATTAGTTGAGTTGAATTGAGTGATTGTCTTGGTTGTTTCATTGACATAATAAAGGAAGCATATTTAGCTATAACATAATCTTGAAGCCTCATGGAATTTTGAACTGCCTTCCTTTAAGTACTAATGTCTACGGACTTCAGAAAGCAGATTCCCACACGTCTGTAGAACAGCAAATGTACTTATACACAATTCAATAATGCGGATAATATATTTTAGTTTGACTTGCTAGTATGATTTCTTCAAAGCTCAAGTTATTTTTGTCCTGAGAGTACATTACAGCTTCAATTTATATTAGTTGCTAATGCACAATGCAATAATGCGGATAATATATTTCAGTTTAACTTGCTAGTATGATATCTTCAAAGCGCGAGTTATTTTCTGTACTGAGAGTCCATTACAGCTTCATTTTATATTAGTTGCTAATGAAACGGAATTTTGTCTTCATTATATGAGAACTCATATGTCTTGATTACAGATATCTGGCTCCTGAGTATGCAGCTAGCGGCAAGCTAACAGTAAAATCTGACGTTTTCTCATTCGGGGTCATGCTCTTGGAAATAATCACTGGCCGTCGACCGGTGGATCACAGCAATAAGTCCATGGATAGTTTAAGCTTAGTAGACTGGGTTTGTTTTTCAAATCGTCTCCTCCCTACTTAGTGATCTAATATCAGAAGCTGTTGCATTTGAACTAATTAGCATTTATTAATTTTCATTATTTGCATTTTCACAGGCAAGGCCACTCGCAACTAAAGCATTGGAAACAGGGGATTACAGGGAGTTAGTTGATCGACGCCTTGAAGATAACTATGTTCCCCATGAGATGGCTCGTATGATCGCCTGTGCTGCTGCCTGCATTCGCCATTCAGCAAAAAAACGGCCACGCATGAGCCAGGTAACAGTTCTTCTATGCTGAGAAAGAACCAAGATTTTTGTTTTATATTAAGCATCACGCCTATTAACAACTACTATTTATACATGTATGAATCTCGAAGGAGACTTTTACAATTTTGAAAGACAACTAATTTTTTTTATTTTTTATTTTGAACTCAAGAGTTGTTATTTGGCTTCACTGTAAAAATTGGTCATGCAAAAGAGAATACCAAATCTGATCAAGTTTTCTTTCAAGTTGGTCCAACTTAGGTGCAAAAAGGTTCTTATAGACTCTAGATTATTCCCAATATGCCGTCCCAAAAAACCGATATATCATTTGAAAGCTGCGTGAGTGAAATTAATATTTAGTTGCTAAGTCAAGAAATCAAAGAGCTAATTGCATTAAAAACTTCATGCCACGTGCCAGTAGATAATTGGACAGTAAATCCATTTAAAATCGTTGTTCACTTAATGACTTATTAGTACGAATCCTGTGCAATGCAAAGTAATTTTCATTAATATTTAAAAATTAAAAATGCTCATTAAATAATATTTATAAATTAAAAATATAGAATCAATATGTAATACAGTTTATCTATATTAATTTATTAAAAATGTTATATGAAATTTAAATTGTGCAAAATTGCATAAAAGTGTCTATTTAAAATTAGTGCACGTAAATAATAATAAATTATATTATATTAATTTCAAAATAAGTGTCATTTTAAAATTTTTATTCATAAATTCGATTTAACTACAATGTGATTCCGTAAATAATTATTTTTGGTAAAATTTCAACATTTATTTAAAAATCTAAGTGAATAATAAATATAATTATAAAACTTATATTGTTTAGTTAATTAAAATGAATTTATTTTTGCATAAACTATCCAAATAAAAAATATTAAGCACTTGAATAGTTCACTAAATTATAAATAGTTAACTATTCCATTTACATCCGAGTTAATATTTATCCGTAAGTTATAAATAATTACTTATTTGACTTGTAAATTTATAACCTAAATTTGGACTATAGGATAAAATTCCTTATATATCTCATATATATATATATATATATATATATATATTATTTTGCAAATTTCTCAATCTACTATCGGTTAGATTATTGTTCAAATTTATCAGCTAATTATCCAAAATTAATTTACAAATTTTAAAATTTATTGGTTCAAGATTTAGATTTTTAAGAAATAAATAAATTAATGATTGTATTAATTGATGAATGTAATCACATAGTTTAAATAAAGACGGTCAAGTTTTTCAAAACTTGATAAAGATTTTAACTAATAGATAAACAAATATAAGATAAATGATTCAACATATTAAGAAGTTGAAAGTGGGAAAAGGGAAAAAATTAAAAGAAAAATGGTAAGATGATATAAACATTACGAAATTATAAAAAGAATTTAGGAAGTATGATAAAAGTGATGACTCACAAGTTACGTATTCGGAAATTTGTAATTAATGGCATTGAAATCAAATTTTAAAACTATCAAAAAAATGAACAATGTTTTATTTTTTTAATAAAAAAGGATATTGAATCAATCTTAAACCATTATCCACAACAAGGAAAAAAAAAAGAATTTATGTTCTCAAAAGATTCTGATGGAATAAAAATATAGTTACTTTAATCTATTTTTAACCAACCTCTTATGAAAAAGGAAATAAAATATATACTTATTTTCATTTAAAATTTAAATTATTCGAGAAGTTTCTAAATTTAGTAAATTTGACATGTTTATGTGGGATTTTACCTACTATAAATAGTAAAATTTTGGTCTTATTATATAATAAGAGATAACATTCTACTACTCACACCGATGCATTGTTTCTTTCAAGGATGTCCTTGTATGTGTATATTTATTTTTACATACACCAAATAAAATAATAAAGAAACTAACTAAATTTGATAAAACATATCGAGACTCTAATTTTAGAACAACCATATAATAAAACCAAATAAATAATAAGTTGGAAAACATGTGCAACACTTATTCTTTTTTAAGAGATATTGAAATTTTAACTATTGTGTTTGAGCTCATTGTTTTGAATGAAATGAAATGGTTTTCATCTGCCAAAAATGAAATTGAAACATGAATCATGAAAAAAATAACCAAATATTAAGGTAGTTCAATTTTTTAAAATGTTATAATTGTAATTACATTTGTTCAAAGTGTTATTTTCATCTACCCAAAATAAAATAAATAATTAAATTGAAAAAATTATTTTAAAGAAATATTGAAAATCTTCATATCGTTAATTGTTCTGAATTAGCAAATCGCTTTCATCTACACATATGAAATAAATAATAAAATTTGAAAAATTAGAGGTGCTTTGTTAATCGATATTGAAGTTCCTTTAGAAAGTTCCTTTGTTAAAATATGAAAAATTAGAGGTGCTTTGTTAATTTTTTTAAAGAAATATTAAATTTTAATTACATGAATCTGAATAATGAATAATATATACAAATATATACAAAATTTAAGTGCTATTTAATCAAAGAATAATTATATGAAAAATATTAGCAAATAAAGTATTGATTTGGATATCCACAATTAGGTGCAGTTTAATCAAAGAATTAATTATTGTTTTGGATACACACAATTATGTGCTTTTTAATTAATTGAGTTTGAACTTAAGTAGTATTTATTTCTCCAGCCACTCAATTTATCTTTCTTAGCGAATAGTCGCTAATTTTTAACATTATTTTTTAGAGGTTCCCACGGTTTTAAATATTTTTTCACGTTATTTGTTGAGTTAAACTGTTTTACAATCTACTTTCAAACAATAGGCTTGATAGTAGTCAAGTTACGTCACATAAATATTGGTTGATATAGTCAAGTCACGTCACATAAATATTGGCTACGATAGAACCCATTGAAGAGAAAAATATAAATATGAGGACATTGTCTAAAAAAATGACACGGCATTTATTTTTCAAACTTGACAGTAATGCATTAGAGATGCTCTAATAAAAATCTAATATAAATTTGCTCAATCTAATATATCCCTATTTTTCTCACACAATTGGTTTCAAATCTGGTACGATAGATTGTACGTGCTCTGGATGGGGACTCGTCACTTGAGGACTTGAATGAGGGCGTGAAGCCGGGGCAAAGCCAGGCCTTCAACTCGAATAGATACGACACAGTGGCCTACAATGCCGACATGATGATATTCCGGAAGATGGTGATGTCGAGCCAGGAGTTCAACAGCACCGAGTATGGGGCCACTAGTGAGTATGGCCTCAATCCCTCATCCTCGTCGGCCACCGACTCTGCAGAGCTCGATTTAGAGAGCCCCCAGAAGCAAAATCGGTGAGCCGGCTCGACTGCTCATAAGATGAGGTTGGTATATATGATCACGTTTAGAGGACACGAACTTATGTATTGCTTGACAATTTGGAAAGGAGATGTGGGTTGATTCAGGTGAAACAACTGATGTATAATCTTTTGGCTTTTGGTTCCTCTTTCTTTTTGTAAGTATGATTTTTGCTTGGTTGGCTTTTTGTTACAAAAAATGGAATTGGGCTTATTTTATGTAGTGTTGTTAGGTTTGGACGTAGTGTGTTGTTGGAGATGATTTGAACCTTTTTGATATTTTATTGATAGGATTTCTGAGGAATATATAGCAGACCCTATGTTATATGAAATTTGGGAGGTTTCCTCTTCTCACTTTCTCGAAAACATTGTTGTTGTTGTTGTTGTTGTTGTTGTTGTTGTTGTTGTTGTTGTTGTTGTTGTTGTTGTTGTTGTTGTTGTTGTTACAGGGACTGTTATTCCAACCCGATTCCTTCATTTTGGTTCTTCAAATTGCTTTTTTTTTTTCTAGAATTGAACGGTAACTAGTACGCCAAAAGCGTGTTGCATAATTTTTTATATAATATATATATATACTATTTTGAAAGGACGAGTGTTTTTGTAAAAAAAATGAAGTACTTATAATTTTTAACTAATAACTATTATTTACCTAAAAAATATTTACGTTGACATATTTTAAAGAAAAATGACGTTCCTGGCGAGCAGACGGCTGAGGTCGGCGGTCAGCGCACGAGACTTCAAATTGGATTTGAAACCGACGAGCTTTCAGAGCGTGAACAGGCGAGCAACGTTTAGAGGGGAGGCGAGAGTGAGGCGACTCAACTCCGACAACAGCCAATTGCGTCTTTGCTGTCGTCAACAGCTGCGTCTTTGTTTATATACAGTTATGTATAGTATATGAATACATTTTTTTTTCTATATTCATTTTAACATTGTGATATTATGGTATGCATGTTTTTGGTTTATGCATTCATATATAATGGTTTTGGATAATATTGTGACATAATTACAATTTATTTATTGTTTATTAATTGGATAACAGAAAAGCGAATTCTCAAACTATTTGTTTCACTCACGTTTATATTCAGTATTTATAATTACTTTGTAACAATTCGATTTTTATGTTATACATAAACGTTCTGGGAATCGGCCACACGACGGGCAGGGGAATTGTCCTTGGCCCGCTCTCCCGGGCTCTCCAGGCCCGTCCGTGGTGTCGGTTGGCCGGCGCCGTTGGTGGTTAGGCCGCCGCCAGTGGTGGCTCCGACTCCAGGATATATTATAACTTTTTTTTTTTAATTTTTACTTTTAAATATCCATCTCATAACCAATAAAGAGTTACTTTTTTTTATGCTTTGATTGAGAAAAAAGATTATAAGATAAATAATTGGCATAGGTGGAAATATAAATCTTTTTTGTAACATAGGTGGAGATTGGAAAATATGCTATAGAGATTTGTGTACTTTGGAACTTAGCCTCTCTTCATACTTTAAATACTAATAGAGGCTCTAGAAAGTTTTAATCGAATATCTTAGAAACTTTTAAAAATTTATAAAAATTCTTAAAATGTTTCAATTAGATACATGTAAACTTATTAGAAGTCTCGAAACGTCTGAGACTTTAGAGACTCATAAAAACCCTTTCCAAGTCTCAATTAAATACACATAAACTTTTTAAAAGTCTCGAAAAATTCTAATTAAATATAACAAATTAATTCTAAAAATATTAAAACGTCTCTAAAAGTTTAAATTGTTACAAACCTCCTTCCTCTCTCCATTTGCTTAATGCAAACAAGAAGTGCGAGATAATAATAAGTTTGTCATCAATCTCCACTACTTACAACTAATAAATAAACAAAGATGGAAACCGCAAGATTCCTTCATTACTTATAAGCTAAATAACATCTGAAGGTCTCACAGGGATCATAAGCCAAGAATGACTTCAAACTACACTAACAACTAACTTCATAACAAATTCAATCTGCCTTCACTAAGCAAAACTTTGTTCTCAGATGTAACATAAAAGAAAAGATGACAATATAATCCCATGCAGGACCCTCACTTCCTTCCATTGGCCTCTTTAAACTCGGTGGGCGGCATAAAAAACTCGGTCTTGAGACCCGACACGTTAAAATCGACCTCCTCCAACTTCCACGACTCCTCGAGCTCCCGTTTGTGGTTTGCCGACTGCTCCCCGTATCGGAAAACCGTGAAGAACGTCTTCCCACTGTGCGCAATATTCACGCCGTCCACATACTTATAGTCCTCGATCACCGACTCAGTGCTCGTCTCCCAGAACACATCCCCATCCTCTTTGCTCGTCTTCACCGACAGCAGCCTCGAGTCCTCGAATTTGACGAGCAATCCCGATCTCTGGCTGAAGTAACCCCACACCGTGTGGTGGATGATCTCGTATTTCGACCCGCTCTGTGCCTCCAAGCTCGACTGGCTCGCGTCCAACTTAAGTATAAAACAGTCCTCGTCGTTTATGATTTTCTCTCCTATACAAACAGCGTCTATGAAGAGGTTAGCCGTGGCCCGCGGGTCGAGCCCTTGTAAGAAGCGGCGTAGAGGTCTCGGTTGGCCCATGGAGATCGGTCTCTGTTGATTGGATGATTGTCTCCATGATGTTTTACCGTTGCTGCCTGAGATGACTTTGCAGCCGGAGATGAGAAGCTCGAGGCACCACTTGTCGGGATTCTTTTGCCACAAAACGAACCCGCCGGATTCTTCGCTGCTTCTGACCTTGACGTTTTCGTTGCCCTGGTGAAATTCGGAAGCGCTGATTTTGACCTGACCCATCACGCACATGCTGTTCACGGCGTTGAGGGCCGGCTGCCCGCCTGTGGCCGCTATGTACTGTTGAACAATGTACTTAGCGGTCGAGGCTTCCTAGGGCAAATACAAATAAAATAACATATAAACGTATCATCATCAAGTTTTGATTGCTTTGTGAGAAATCTTTATGTGATTGAATAAAATAAATAAAGGTACTACTGACAATAGAGGAATGCTTGATGGCACGGTGGATGGAGTGGCCGACCTCGACCTGGAAGGGTATGAGAGGGGAGCCGACAATGTAGAGAAGGAAGCTCATCTCATTGTAGCGTGCTGCGATGATAGGGGACGACCACTTGTCGGGTGTCTGGGCCTTCATCCACGTCGCCATGTTCTGCCACCTCAGCGCCACACTGTTGCCGAGGCCGGCAAACATTTCCTCAGGGATCGGCACCTCAAGCACCGTCTCCAGGAAGTCTTCCCGATCGAAATTCGGGCACATCCTTCTCATCACATTCTTGTGTCCCTTGTTTTTTTGAGCATGGGACATTTTTTTTGTTTTTGTTTTTGTCTTGATGATTGCAACTGGGAAAGCAGGTGTGCTTCTCTTCTTCTCCTCCTTTGTGATCATTAATTAAAGACTATTTCTGGTGATGATCATCTTGGAGGGCTGTCCATGCATGTAGGTGTCATGAGGGCATCAGTAAATTTTTTTTTTTAATTATTTTTTTTTCCCAATATTGGGTTTCTAATAATTTGTGTTGTAACTCATTCAAAGATCCTAATTTCTCTCACTTATTAGGTACAGGACTGGGACTTCTATATAGGCTGGTATAGTGATAAATTTTATGTCAAACATAAACTTTTTTACAAACTCAATCTTCTAAAAGTCGCTAGGCGGTGGTCTGGGGCCTAATGCTTAGGATGGGTAGGTAGGTACTAGGCAGTTCCTAGACAGGGTCGAGATTATACTGATAAATTTATTTATATATATTATATACGTGATAATTTATAAGATAAATAAAATATATATTAATTATAAGTACAAAAATTATGCAAAATCTAATACATTCATAATTATTGCATTAATTGTGATATAATTATTAATACTTTTGTTATATAATTAATATAAGTTTCATGAGTAAAACTTAAAATTAATTCCACTTTATTAAATTAAATTAATATATATATATATATATATATATATATATATATATACGGGAGTCTAAACGCCGCAAAAGACCGGCTAGGTACCTGCCTAGGCCGACTAGCCCGCCTAGGTGAGGATAGATTCACAACCGCCTAGAATTTTCTCTCATCACAATCCTAGCTCGGCTAGTGGTGTTAGACGGTTCGGGTGAGCTGATGTGGGGGCTGGGCAGTTCACTGTCGGTTGGAGACGGGTCAATTCAGGGATTGGTTCGTGGCTCGATTTCGGCTACTGTATAGGCATTTGTACAGTTTCCGTAGTGGTTTCTCGAGTTTGAATCTTTTTAGTGTCGACCTTTCACTGCTGGTTGGGATCGCTCGTTTGACGGGGAAGGGCTATGCTATTTTGTTGTTTTGTTATTCTTGTTTTGTGATGTCTGTATCTGTATTGTGTTTGTATTTGTGTTTTAGGTTTGGGCCTTTGGCCTCGGTTAGCCCGAGTGTGACCTTATTTATCCTGTTGGGATCGCACACTTTGGCATTATCCTATTGGGGTCTTTTTAATTATTTTAGTTATTTGTGTAGTTGGTTAGTTTAGTTGCGAGTTTTAATCTAGCGTTGCTAGTTGAGATTCTAGGTGGTCTTCTGATTTATTCTCCCACTTTTTCAGTTGTTGGCTGTTCTACTCAGCTAGGAGCTGCTTGTGATTTTTCAAAGTGGCCGCCCCCTTTCTATAAAAAACTAATAATAGTAAAATCTGAAATTTTGAGCGGGAAAATGACATACTATTTTTGTATATTTTCTTGATTGTATAATATAATAATAGATTTTAAAAATTTGTGGGAAGTTATATTTGAGTAAGTTGAATGTTTGAATTTGTGATTTTGGTGGGATTTCTTACCTTGTTTTAACCGCCTCCATAACTTCTCTCACCTCCTCGTTTATGAAAACCGTCTCTTGATCATATCTTGTCAGATTCTCTACTAAAACCACTGTCACACGCCATTAACTTTTCTCCTCTTCATCACAATCCTAATTCGAATTTTCTCTCACAATTACATCTCCACTTTCTCTATCTGTTCTAACCCTAAAATAAAAAATCCTCCATCGTTGTTTGTACACCAAGAATGGCGGCGACGGCAAACCCAAGAAACGTCAAAAGAGGATTAAAGTGAAGGCTCACAAATGCCCTCGCTATATTGTTTCTCCGGTGCCTTCACATGATTCTCCACCGCCAGATACATCGCTTCCTCAAGTAACTCTGATGGACATTCAACGTTCTCCGGCTGCCATACCACCTTCGTCCCCGACAAAAAATAGACACTCTGAACAAGTCTTCGCCGCCCTCACCAAAGAATACCGATGTTCCAGTCTCTTTTTCTTCATTGCACGACGAGAATGCACAAGGCACAACTCAGGCGAGAGTCTTCCGCTGTTCATACATCTGCTGCAAAATCGGCAAACAAGGACGATGACAAGGCAACACCGCTTGTACTTCTATTCGCGAAGATTCTCCATCTATTGAGGTAGCTGTTGAGGTGCTTTCTGATCAACCTACACCTCCATCAAGGGCTACTGTTCGTCGTTCGACCAGGCTTCGCGGGAAGGAACCTGTTGATGAAATTCCTGAGGTGAAAGAACCCAAAGATGACGAGTATGATCTTGCGAGTGCATTTTCGAACAGGTTCTATACTATGACAACCCAAAATCATTTTACTACATTTAATTTTTATCAGCTTCTGTGTGAGCATCCTGCTAGTGATGAAAATTTTGAAACCTTTGCTGTCATGGACCTCATTGCCAATGTTGCTCGTACTGCTACTGTTTCTGGGTTTGAACCATTCTGTGGACAAGTTGTCCGTTAATTCTATGCGACATTACTCCTTCTGTGTTCTTACATGATTCCCCCCGCTATCATAAAGTTTTCCTACATAATCGACTTGTTGATTTTTCTCCTGCCTTGCTTAATTCTCTTGTTGGTGTCTCTAGTGGTCTTGTTGGTCTGGCTGAGGTCGATATGAATACACTTATCATGGTTCTTACAGATAACCGCTTGGCTTAGTGGCTGAGTTATAATCTGCCAGTGAATTCCCTTTGCTTTAGGGCCAATCCGCTTCATAAGATTGGTGCTTGCGATTGAACTCCAACGACAAATGAGAATCAACTCACTGAGCTTCATTGCAAAGTGATCTACTGGGTTCTTGTTGGGAAACCTGTGAATTTTGGTGAAGTAGTCATTGAGGTTATTCGTTTGTTTGTTGAGAATCCGAATTCCCGTCGCCCATTCCCTTGTTTGACTTGGGCGTTCTTATCCACTATCAATTTCACTGTTAACCCTCGAATTATCGATGTTCTTATTGATGTTGGTGCCCCATTGCAAGTTACTCGCACTATCTCAGTTTCAATAAATTCAAAAATTCAACAAATAATATATTATATAATATATAAACAAATAAACTTCAGTATGCGATCAATGCAGTCACCTGAACCACCCTTTCGATCGCTGACCGACCCGTCCTACATCCCTACCAGTATACCCTTCCTTTCTCGGATTTCAGTCGAGCCTCAATTACATCGATCCTCTCCTTTCAGTTTTTGCGAACGCGTTTTAAGGCCTGCCCCCTGCTCTATAAATGAGTGAGCCACTCCCAGGGCCAAGATGGAGTCGCCCTTTCTGTTGTTCCTGAGAAGTGGGAGGACTTCATACTGCAGCAAAACTTTGAGTGGAATGAACGCGCCAACAAGGCCAATGTTCAACTTACATATCTTCAGCAAATGCTTAAGGCAGTTAAAGCTCAGAATCGTAAGAACATGAGGAAAGGCTCTTCGACATCCCATAGTTCGAAAAAGGGGGAGAACAAGGATGGTGATGAGAGAGATGCTGATTCTGGGGAGACCAAACTAATAAGGCCATTGATAATTATGATCCTTGATTGATTTTCTTTGTTTTGAGTGATGTAGTGAGGTCTTGCTTTATAAGAACCTCTTCATATTTGTCTTTTGTGTGACTGCTACTAGTATTTGTTGTTGATGGTTGGATGTGTGTCTTATTTAAAGCCCATCTTCTTTGTTATTCAATGGTTGTTTATAAATGAAAATGTGAATTTATATCATAAGGTGTTCTTGAGATTGCGATCATATTCATATAGTCTCACTCGTACGCTTCCCTACATCAGTTGGTATCAGAAGTCAGCACGATTCAAAATGCCATCGCAGAAGAAAAGAATCGACGGGCGTGACGCCACCATTAATTGAGTATCCGGGTCGGCATGCCACGGGCGGCGGCCGCCAGATCAATCAATTGGATCATCGAGTTGAGTATCGTTCGACGGGGATCGAAGAAGTGTGTCTTACGATCAATAACGTGGTTGCGAATTTGCAGACGAACCGTGATGCCGGCAACTGGGGCGTTCGCGGGGGAGTTCACAGAGGATGTAGAGGCCGTGAGCAAGACGGGGCACCCCGCCAGAAATCTCCATAACCACCATACAACGACGAAGACGACGAGGATACCATCTCGGAGATGAATCCCTTCGGCGAGTGGCAACCTCCGCACGTCGAGGCTGACCTCTTCGCTGTATATGGCGATCGTGACATGTGGCGACAGGGCCCGATCTTCGTGGAAGACAACGATCAATGCGTCGACAGAGGCAGGTGCGAGGAGGCTGCCTTCGCCGGCAGATATGGTGCCCGACGCGACTGGGAATTTGATCGCGACAGATATGGTGCCCGACGCGACTGGGAATTTGATCGCGAATATGGTCGATGTGAGGGCCCGTTTCGCATTGACATGCCCGAATTCGACGGAGAGCAAGTTGACGGGCCATTATACGTACGATGGTCCGGATGTGTTTGATAAAGGTCCTGAGGAGGTGGAGGAGCGTCTTACCGGCGAAGTGGACGATCTGTACGACGGTCTGCCGATTTTCGATGAGGGGCCTCTGGTGCTAGAGGAATTCCATCATGTTTTGAGTATCGAAATTCAATTGTTGGAAGAATTGATAGATCTTCTGTTGCGCAAGCCAGAGCTTTTCTCCTACGGGAATTTGTTGCGACCTTGCAAACAAATGTTGTTTTTTGGTCCCCACAGTGACCTCAAAATTCTGTGTGTGGTTGTTGCATATACGTCTTTCCATGAATTCAAGGGAGTGATACCATGGAGGTGCGACATTCAACTTTCGTGTTCGACAGGGGGAAACGTCGGGTGATGATTGCCATGGGTACAACCCCAGTCTTGGCACGTCTGGTGCAGCTTCGAGGACGAAGCCTTCTGAGCCGGAGGAGAATGATGTAGATAGTTTATTATTATTATTTTAATATTTAAATATTTATTGGCTTGGTGGACAAAATAAATTTTAGGTTTTGGATGCCTTATTTAAATCTCTTGTTAATAAGTGGTTGTTTACGAATGAAAATATGAATTTATATCCTACAGTGTTCTTGAGATTTCGAACTCGTTAATTTCATCTCACTCGTACGCGATGTCAAATTCCATTTCCGGCAAATAAATACGTACGTACAAGTAATAAACTTATCTCAATTATTGGTAAGTGCAATTGATAGATTAATTATACCTCTCGCTATCCTTGAGGTCGCTTGCTATAGTCAACTAATAGTACGTGAGAGTAGAAACTAACATACATGTATGTGTACATATAGATGTATATGCCTCTATCTAATTATTGACACCCGTCACTTCATATTAGTCAATAAGGGTGACTGTAAAATTATAAAATAATCACAATTGTTGGAAAACTTCCATTAAATTGGGCTCATGTCTTCTGCTGCTATCAAAAACTGTTGACTTTGCTTTAAAAAATTAACTGATAATTTATCAATAATTTTTTAGTTTATAACTTATGACTTATAGCTGAAAGCTAGCTTATATATATATATGATAAAAATGTTCGATAAAATTAGTTGGAATAAAAAAATCAACTATATTATTTGAAAAACTACCTAAAAAAAGTTTAATAAGCTCGAGATTTTAAAAAAGTTCGTCCTACCAAACAAGACTTATTGAATATAGGGAACTTATAAGTTATAAACTAGCTTATTTGTCTACCAAACATAGTCTTAATCTTTTTCTTTTTTCTAAACATTTTGTAAACGTTGTGACAAATGGACACATAATCCATTAATAAAATTCACATTAGATAACGTAATTCATTTTTTCTAAATTTTATTATTAATAAAAATGAACGATATAAATATAAAAAAAAGTAAACTTACATATTAATTTGTCCATTGATGGCAATAATGTAATTTTTGTAAGGTTAATTGATTATGGCCAATTAATTAATTAAATTAAGTGTAAAATTAATATTATTATTATAGTAATTGTGTATGAAATTTTGAGGGGTTGATGCTTATCCCATAAACAATCGATTAATTTTAATAACTAAAACTTTTTTAATGAGTTGAAAAAAAAATTAAATAAATAGTTTGAAAAAAAAATTAGAGTAGAATGTCGTTTAATGTAACTTTATAATTAGTTACTAATAACTAATATGTAATAAAATGAATAAAAAAAATACTTGGTTTTACAAACGACATCGACTCGGTTGACCGTCCTTTGAACTGCTCACGAGCCGACAAATGACCTGCAAAACAACGTCGGGTTTATCCAAACGTAGAAGCTCCGATATTTAAGTCAGTAAATAGGGATGACGATGATGATAAATTGTATGTAACTATATGTATATAAGTATAGAGTATTTAAATATAATGTTTATCCTTTTATATAGAGATGTTACTTTGCTGCCCAAACTCTGCTCGAGCTAGCTGCCCGAGTGTCCGACCTACCCGATCGTACTGTCCTGGTGCCTGAATTGCCCAATTCTCTTAATTAGTCACATGGTCCAATCCATGCGCTCTACTTATATCGTGATTATATTCTCACTTATCCACCATCTTGGATGTGTTCACATTAGCCTACCTTAATTAATTTATACATAATTGTGGTATCAATCGGATTCCCCTTGAACAGGGTTATTATTGTCCTCAATAAGTAAGTATGCCTTTTAGGTTCTGCATCGACCTTTTGACTTTTAGGTCGAAATTCTATTAGCCTAGCCGAGAGTCCTAGTTTGACCTATTTTTGCATACTGAAATCTAGACGGTTAATTATATCAGTGAGAAAATAAATATCACCATTATATTATATATATAAAATTGCGACTACTTTCCAATGACATTAATTATTTAATTGAGCTTAATCTTAATCGTAACAAACTTTTCCTAATTATTTGACCGCTGTGTATATATGAAAATAGACAATTACTGGTGGGTGGTACCTCATATGCTTAAATAAATACAACTATTGTTCTTGTTTTGGTCCCTAGAGACAGTATTATGCATTAATTAGTTATGGAGTCGGTCAATAAGCCAGAACTGAAAGCCTACCTAAACTCTTTATTTATTTATTTATTTATTTATTTTTTCAACAGCATAAAAATACTCATAAAAAAAGCCCAAACAGGCAAATTACACAGACGAGCCCGAAGTCGGAGAATGAAATATAACACACAACCAACGTAACCTAGACGCAATACAAACTAGCAATGCTAGAATACTAGCACACTACCAACACAAAAGTAAAAATACCCCAACAGAGCAATACCAAAAAACACACAAATAAAAAAAACTCCAACAGAGTAATACCTGAGTGTAAACTCCCAACAGAAGAATAAAGGCTACACTCGGACCGAACCGGGACTAAACAACCCAAATCAAAAACATAAAAACACACAACATAAACACCCCGCTTAGTCCGCAGATACCTCGCTTTTCTTTGTTAATAGTTGAAATTTAGGGAGATGCTACGGTTTCGTTATGGTACCATCCCGTCGGTTGTTTTAACCGTTAGATCTACGTGTAGTTAGATAAGATTGATGATCCAACGGTTAAAACATCCGACGGGATGATATCGTAACAAAATGGTAGTATTTTCCTGAAATTTAATATTTTATATACAACATTGTGCCGATTAGATGACGGATTGTCTAAGGTGCAATACAAATGAGAGCCTGAGTATGAGAGTTCATGAATTTTGGGTCGTTCCAAAAAAAAATCAAATCACGTCGAATTGAAAAATAATTATTGACTGATCAAATTTCTTCGAATCAAAAAAATAATTAATACAATTCTAAAGATTTCACAAATATCATAACGAGAAACAAACCGAACCGATTATATGTAATTTATGTTGTGTGAAAAATGTGTGCCTTTTAGGCTGACACTTCTTTTTATTGGGAAATGCTACAGTCCCGTTACGGAACTATTCCGTCGGGATTTGAAACCGTTAGATCATCATGTAATCGTCGTTTATAGTTGATCTAACGGTTACAAAGCCCGACGAAATGGTTACGTAACAGGACCGTAGAATCTCTCCTTTTTATTATAGTTATTTTCACTTCAACCCCTCTGCCTAATTATTTTTCTTCATCAATCATCCAAGCTTAATGACCATATTTGCCCTAAACATACTCGTTTACATTTGAATTTAAATCCGACAACTAACTATTGACGAGCTCCACTTGCTTATTAGCCTTATTCCTACACGTTCCCTTGCTGAAAACCTCCTCCATCTCCTCCAGGCTCCTGCCCTTTGTCTCCGGCAGGCAAAAGTACACGAACACCCACGCCACCACCGCCACGCTGGCAAACAGGTAGAACGCCCCACCAATCGTAATCGCCGACGACAGCGACAAAAACGTCATCGACACGGTCGCGTTCATCACCCTGTTCACCCCGACGCTCACGCTTGCCCCCGCCGCCCTCAGCCTGGTCGGGAATATCTCCGAGCTGTACACCCAGCACACCGGGCACAGCCCTATATTAAAAAAAGCCAGAAACACGTACACGAATATCAAGCTCATTACAAGCGCCCACACCAGCCTCGCCTCCGCCGCCCTCTCCACCACCGTCAAGCACGTCCCCAGCCCCGTCAGCGCCACCGCCATCCCCGCTATGCTCACCAACAACAACTTCCTCCGCCCAACTTTATCGATAATAAAAGTCGAGATCGTGATAAAGCACAACTTCGTCAACCCGACCCCCACCGTCGCCAAAAGTAGCTTCCTCCGCGCCGTCACGCCCGCCTTCCGGAAGATCTTCGGCCCGTAGAGTATAACCGCTTCGGTCCCCGTCGCGTGCTCGAAAAAATGAACACCCACACCGGCGACGAGCATCCGCCTCACCGTCGGCGTCGGTTTTATCAACAAATCACGCCAAATTCCGGATTCGCCCTCGCCGCCGGCCCTTTTCTTATTATCCATTCTCACGAAATCGTCCGTGGAATTTTCATCAATCCCCGCCGCCTTTTTAATATCTCGCAATCGCCGCTCGGCCTCGCCTGCCTCGTCGCAGACCTTGTAGAGAATCTCTTTCGCTTCACGTACGCGGCCTCGCGCGATTAGCCAGCGCGGAGATTCGGGCATTTTTAGAATTCCGATTCCGAGGAGTAGAGAAGGTACGGCGGCGATGCCGAGCATGAGGCGCCAGCCGAGGCGGAGAGGTAAGTTGGCGAGCAAGTTGTTTGAAATGTAACCTAAGAGGATGCCGACGCTGATGCCGATCTCGGGAAGGGAAGAGAGGAAGCCGCGGGTGTGGGCGGAGGAGATCTCGGCGGCATAGACGGGAGCGATCATGAGGGCGAAGCCGACGCCGAGGCCGGCGGTGCAGCGGCCGGCGAGGAGGACGGCGTAGGA